GAAAAATAACAATAATTTATAAATTATCAGGGGTTTACGAGAGAGGGAGGGTGGGGAGAGAGGGGAGAAATGAGAAGCTGATACCAAGGGCTTAAGTAGAAGAAAATGTTTTGAGAATGATGGTGGTAACAAATGTACAAATGTGTTTGACACAATGGATGTATATATGGATTGTGGTAAGAGTTGTACAAGGCACCAATAAAACTATTTTTTTAAAAGAAGTTAAACAAAATAAAACACGCCCACAAGAGTCAAAGTATGACCTTTGTCAAAAACAGAATTGATGCACTAAACATTCATTAAAAACCCAGATAAGGGAGACACGATGGCATAGTGGTTAAATATGGGCTGTGATGTGAAAAACCCAGAGAAGTTATGGGACAATAGCAAGTTGTGAGATGACAACATGCATGAGGAAAATAAAATGTCATTAAAAGGACTAAAACCAAAATGGATTACACAAGAGACTCTGAAACTTGCTCTTGAATTTAGTAGTAGTTAAAGTGAATGGAAGGAGTCCTGGTGGCATACTGGTTACTTGTTGGGCTGCTAACTACAAGGTCTGCAGTTCGAAACCACCACTCACCACTCCTCAAGAGAACGATGGGGCTTTCTACTCCTATAAAGAGTTACTCTTGGAAATTGACAGGGGCCGTTCCACCCTGTCCTTTAGGATTGATAAGAGTCAGCCTCGAATCAATGGCAGTGAGTTTGTTTTTTCGTTTGTTTAAGTGAATGGAAGATATGATGATGTAAGCTTGCTGGACACAAGGTTTCAAAGGGCTGCTTAAGAAGACAAAGTAAAACGTTACAATGAAATATACACTGGAGTTAAAAACCAAAAGGGACGAACATGCTCATCATCTACCAAGTAGAAAGAGGTGAGGAAAACCAAGCCTCAAGTTGCAATATCAAAGGCATCCATGTCAAAAACATCGAACGCACAGGAAACATCACCAGAAGATGGAAGGAATGCCTCTGTACCAAACATATCTGGTCGACAGTCAACCATTTCAGGAGGCAGCATATAACCCTGCATGGGTGGTACTGAAGGAACCAGTCTCAGCTGCGCTGCAGGCCCTGGGGAGAAACCAGGCTCCAGGAACTGACGGAAGGCCAGTTAAATGCAGAGCTGGAAAAGTGCTCACTGCACTGTGACAAGACGTTTGGAATACGGTTACTTTGGCAATAGATTGAAAGTGATCCCTTTTGAGGCCCACCCCCCTTAAATAGATCCACTAGAATATAGAAATGATCTAACAATAACTTTAATATCACACACTAGCAAAACTTTACTGAAGGTAATTTAAAAATGGCTTCTGTCTTACATCAACAGGCTACTGCTAGAAATTTCAGTTCAATTTCTAAGAAAATGTGGGATATCATTGCACAGATGGATATTGGCTAAAAGCAGCGAAAACTAGGAAGATACTTACCTGTGTTCTATTGGCTAGACAATACCAAATTTTGGATAGCATTGTGAAGAACAGAACTCCAGGATGCCCTGTGTTTATGCAGACAATCGTTGGAACAGAAGAAGGAAACGCTGCATAGTTTAACAGTAGGAAAGGGGTGTGTCTTGGTTGTATCCTCTGACTATACTTATTCAATCTGTACAATGAACAAATCACCTGATAAGGTGGCCTGTAGGAAGAAGAATGTAGCATCAAGATCGGATCTGCTGATGAAACGACCTGAAGCAGTGAAGGTCAAAGACCACAGCCTTTAGTGCGGATTATACTTCAATATCAACAGAAGAAGAGTCTGCACATTTGTAAGAAAGCATATGACAAAATCTTGTGGTTCTAGCTCAGTATAGCCCTCTCATTCAGATCTAGGAGGTTCTCCGTTCAGGAACACCTTGTCTTGCTGATCAGGAGGTCCCCAAACCCTTTGTGAGACTGACTTCTTACATAGAAAAACCCCTTGTTCATTTCAAGTTATGGCTTTCAAAAACTGACTAATTCCTTAGGGCAGTGGTTCTCAACCTTCCTCATGCCACAAGCCTTTAATACAGTTCCTCATGTTGTAGGGACCACCCCCAACCATAAAATTATTTTTTGTTGCTACTTCATAACTGAAATTTTGCTACTGTTATGAATCAGGCGACCCTGTGAAAGGGTTGTTTGACCTCAAAGGGGTCTCGACCCACAGGTTGAGAACTGCTGCCTTAGGGGGATCAAACCTCTTGGCTGGATTGTAAGTCACTTAGGCAGATAACCAACCAATCCTTGCAAACCTGCTTATGCAAATAGCAAACGATCAATCTTCTGGCATATGGCAATCTGCATGATCATGATGGGAAAATCACAAACCGAGGACCAGAAAGGCCACAGAATAGAACCATTGCACTACATTCAGTATGTCTTCAATAATCCGGACTCCGCTCATTGAGAGTTTATGATCATTTTAGGAGAACCAGGCTTAAGAATGCAAGCTGTTTTAGAAATACATTTACCTGGATAAAAGCAATGTCTAGTTGATATATTTTTTAAAAGAATATTGTGATATAATGTATATAAAATCTCACCGTAGCGTAGTACTACATATAGTAGTACTAGTACTTATAATACTAAACTATTATAAAATAATAAGATAAAGAAGACTGCAGAAGAATTCATTCATTTGAATTGTTGACAAAGAATTTGAAAGTATCATGCCACAGGAACAAACAAATCTGTCTGGGAAGAAACACAGCCAACAAGCTCCTTCGAAGCAAGCATGGCGAGACCTTCCACCTCACATACTTTGGGCATATCTAGAAAGCCTAGTCCTTGGAAAAGAACATATGCTTGGTAAGGTAGTAGAAGGTCAGTGATAGAAAGACCCTCAACGAGATGGACTGACACAGTGGTGGCAATAATGGACTCAAACAACAATCGTGAGGATGTTGCAGGACCAGGCAGTGTTTCATTCTGTTGAACACAGGGTCGCTATGAACCAGAACTGATTTGATGGCACCACACAACAGCAGC